GATGTATGAGAGATGGGAAGATTCAAAAAACAAAAAAAGAACCTCTGACAGGATTTAATATAACTTTTTTTTAAATAATTTTCAAAAAGAATAAAAAGAAGGAAAAAAAAGTAGAAAAAGGATTTAGTATTATTTTTATTTTCATGTATTTAATGTTAATTTTCCTTTTTTTTTTAATTTTTTTGGTCTTTTGTACAAATTCATATAGCTACATATTTTTTATATAATAATGCTTATTACAATCATAATCTTGAAGAAAGATTATGTGAAATATAAAAAATATAAAAATAATAAAAAAAACTATAACACTATATAGAAATTGAAAAGAAGACAATAGTTCTACGAGTATATACATATTATGTAGATCACACAGCTGAGGACTTTCGAGTACATAACATTTATTCAAATACAAATATTATGCATGTCCTTTTATATACAATATTTAGATAAGAACATATTAAATAATATTAAGTTTAAAAAAAAAATGGAAAGAATTAAATGAAAGGAAATTTATAGTTAATCGTACTTGAACACTCTTAGACCTTTCAGGATATGCAATCATAAAAATTGGTATTATACACTGGAATATTAGAGTTGTTCAAAAATTAAAAAAATTGTTGTATATCTAAATGTTTGTGGTTTTTTTTGTGATAGAAAAAATTCAACGATAGTAAATTCAAAAAATCTAAGAGTTTTGTTTAGTGTCAAAACTATGACCTATGCATAACAGCCATGCTATGGTCGAAATATATTATGGTATTAGATCAGATTTTAGGGAGTGGGAGTCAATAAGAAATATAGTTCGGCTGTGATATAGTCGGACTACGATATAGCCCGCTCTTGTTTCTACAAAAAGAGAAAGAATTAAAATATAAATGCACAATATGAATTTCTAATTCTGTGCGAATTTTTTCTAAACTTTAAGATTTGATGGTAAAAAATGTCTATTTTTCAATTACCATAAAAATTCCCTACAAAATTGAAAACAAGTAAACTCGGCATTAGAAGATTTAAAACATTTGTAAAATCGCGTTACTAAATCTCGATGACAAATTCATTGAAATAAGATTTATTATTTTTAGAAAAAATTTGATTTTTCGAAAAAAAATCAGGAAATTCGCGATTGATAGTAATTCTATTACACAAATTATGCTTGTACAAATATATATGCATAATCGAAATTCTTCGGCTCTCTATATTACTACTGGAGAAATAAATTTACAATACCACTCAATTATTACAATATATATATATATTTATATAATGGATATAGAAACTACATGTTATTACCTAATACAAGGATAATGTTTAAGTACTCAAGTTAAATCAAACCAAGTAAGGAACATACACCGGTATAAAGCCATGGAAGCAAAATCACTTTAAAATCCAAAGAGAATAATGAATAAAAAAAACAAAATAAGCAAGAGTATAATATTTTTTTTTTTTTGTGCTGTTCGTTCGTATCTTTGTAATTTTATCCCTTAAGTGCAAATTCTCGGTTGCTGATGTGTGTAATCGACATAAAATGTCACAAAATGTTACATTAGATTACAAAAATGTGCAATATAAAATGCAAAGATTGACATTTTTTTCTTTCACTTGCTTTTATTTTCTATGGAATTTGTTAAAATAATAGAAAAATACCCGTTAACGAAGTGAATTGTAAATTATTAAAAAGCAGGAGAAAGAAAGAGACAGAAAGAAATAGAAAAATATTTTACACATATAAAATGGAATAAAAAATTTAAAATGGATAGGATGCAGTCATAGAATAAGATTTCTGTATTTAATGTTATCCTTTGTTTTCTTTTATATTTTTTAGTTTATACGCGTTTCAGGAAGAAAATGAAAAAAGGAAAAACAAAAGAAATGTGCATTCTGAGAACTAGATTAAGCGGTTTTTACTATTTATGTCACTAATTTAGGGTTTAATGTAAATTTATATGTTTTTTTTAACATAACATTTTGAGTACATACAAAAGAATGTTTATTTTTGTTGACATTTTTTTAACAAATAAGAAACAAGTAGAATTTATTTTGTTCTTGAACTCATAACAAATAATAAAGCTGAAATATTATATAATAAGATTATAGTTAGCATGAGTTTATATAGAAACTTCTACCTCCATATAGAGTCGGTTTATATCGAAAGAAGTTTGTTTCTATTAAAGCACAATTTAAAGTTCAAGAAATATTTATTGAGTTTTAAGAGCGCGGCATTTTAAATTTTCTTTTGTATTATGCTATATGCATGAAAGGCTTTGTAGTTATCGTAGTGTATAAAAATTTTAAAGAAAATTGCCGAAAATTTATAATTATTTTATTGGAAAATTGGAAATTTTCTTCGATTAATCTGATAAATTCCGGCAGTAACCATAAAATTTTAACAAAGACTAACAGTTTCTGTTGTATGTAGAAATTAAAAAATTTTGGTAATATATTTAAATCAAAGACCTTCTGCTTTTAAGAGTTGTGCCACACATGACTTCTCATTCTCTAGGGGAAAGTGCTATCAACTGCGTTAAAGATTTATGTAGAAAATATTAGCGATTCTTTATGTGTATATACAAATTTATAATCATGTTATTGGTGCCATAAGTGCCACCAATAAATTTATGAATCTAATTGAGCAAGATTAAATCAATGAATTTTTTAAATTTTCTTTGATTGTTTTGAGTTTATTTATTATTTAAATGTTTTTTTTTTTGACTAGTAAATTCACGATAACGTACACACATACTTTCTTCCAGGACATAAAAAATTTTTCTGTATTTGAGGTTATTGTTTTCAGATACAGTTAGATTTGTAATGCAATTAGAAGAACGGCAATGTGGGTAGTGTATTGTCATTAAAAGAACGGTAATGTGGTTTCCATATTGTAAAAAACAAAGTCTAAAAATCGTATTGAAATCCGAAATTAAATACAATGACGATGCCTTTCTTAATATGAGCAGCCTATTGCTAATTTTTAAAAGTCAGAAACTATCGTTATGCCTATTTGAATATTAACTTGGGTGTTTCGCAGAAAAAAGCAAGATAATGTCGAAAACGCATTCCATACAATTCGGTAGGCTTGATATTGTAAAATTTTTTTAAAACACAATATTTACACCACCATTTACGTATAAAACATATGTACAAGTTGCATAATTCTAAATAAATTTAGTGTTTGAATAATAATTACATAAAATAAATGCAATGAAACAGCTAATAAAAATGTTTGATTTAGGAGACAAAATATCATTTCAATTTTATTTTACTTCCAATTTACGTTTTGTAAAACGGAAGATAGAACTAAGCCAGTATGTGGAACATAGATAAAATAATGTTTGAGATTGTTAACAGTCAAAATATTCACAACCTTGTATTTTCTGTTTTGTGCTTTTTATTTGTTTTTTATTTGTCTGTTTGAATGTTACATGTACAAATGGCTTTCGTGCATTCTATTATACATTTTTTAAGTAAGTTCTAAATGAAAAAAATTATTAAAAAAATGTTCTATATTTTTATTAAAAAAATTTTTTTCTGTTGCAATTACCACTTCCGGCATTGAAAAATATAGAATTAAAAAATATTTCCCTAGATTAATAATCTCAAGATTTCTTGTTCTACATTTTTATCCCCCTATAGATTTTATTCGTTCTTCCAAAAAATTAATTTTATTTTTCGCTTATTTTATTCTGAATATGGAATTGAGTAAAACTGTGCTTAGCCCCCTTTCACAATTATTTAATTTTTATTCATTTAAATAAATAATATTTGTATAAAATATCAAAAATTAATTATGAAAAGAATTCCAAATATGTTAAGTACATATAAAAATATTTCGATAAATAAATTATTCAGTAGTTTAAGGTTATCCTTTTGTAATCTCATTTAAATAAAATTAATTTTATACAAAAAACAAAATATGTACATAAATACGAGTAACTTTTCATCATATGGGTTTATTTTGAATAAAGTAACTTGAATTATGTTTAATATTTAAAAAATACTTTTACCACACCATAATCTTACAAAGAATTTTTTGTGTACGGATGTTCTATGTATGGATTTTCAACATGCATAATAAATTTTTGTATAAAATTTTGTAGTAAAATATTTATTTTGCTGTTCTGTATAAGAGGCAAATAGAGTGGTTCTTTATGTTAGTTGGGCAGAATTTAAAGTTATATGCTAATACTGCGTAGATTGTAGATTATACAGAAGAGATAAGAGAACAGTGATAAGAGAAGAGAACAGTGTACTGCGAATAACGTTTAAGCATCTGTTGTTGGTGCTGTAAATGGTTGCATGATGTAAATTTAAAGAACTAACAATTAGCATGAAGAATTCAAATTATATCATGTTTTTGGCCAGCACATGAGACACAGACATCCCACACTTTTTGAGGGAAAAAACGTGTTTCTATACCCATAAGGATTTTCTAACTATGTAATAAAAGTATATAATTTAAATATTAATCATGCCAACAACAGGAGCATCGTATTGAAGGCAGTAACGCCACCATTGAGACAAATACATATTTATCTTGACCTTTTTTTCTAAAGTTTTAAAAACAAAAAATTGATTGGAAACCTCAGTACGTGATTAGTTTATAAAACAATATATTAAACTACTTCTTCTAATAACATAAAGGAAGTCATCACTTAATTTTTACTGGTTTGAGCTTTTGTATAAAATCTGAGAATCGCCGGTTTAGAAATTGAAAGTAAATTAATATTGCATTGTTGAAATTGGTCTAAAAGATATTTTCCCTAGTTCTATTTTCAAACCGGAAAAACAAAATTGTTATCCACCCTAATGTATGAACATACATAAAAAAAATTTCCCTTATTTATTTTTTTGTATTAATTAATTATGCAAATAAGTGAATATTTGAGTAGGAACGTATGTGTTCATAAATTGTTTATGTATTATGTACATAATGTATAAAAATATTCTTTATATGTATACAAGCATTCTAAATTCTATTAAAGCAATTAAAATTTATTAATTACCTTGGCAACAATTGTATTATTAGAATCATCTGCGCTATATATGACCCATAAACCGGAAGCATCAACATTAAAATCCATGAAATTTCTTTGTGTGGTATAAAGGGTATTATTAACCTTATATCCTAAATGTGGCATCTCTTGTGCTACACAAATGAAAGAGAAGAAAAATTTCAATATTTATAGGTTAAATATATTCAAATTTAATATTTATAATTTTATGTAAATGCATTACATATAGGTATACGAGTGTAATATAAAATATGTTCACATAAAAAACAAATTTTAGACCTAATAGTTGTAATACATATTTACAATTTTCAATTTGATTAGGTATGGTTATGTCAATATTATAAATATTGTGGAATTATATTAATTGATTAAGAAGGTCTTTGAATTTAATTTCTAAAATTTAAATGTTTCGTTGCAGGCACTTGTGCTAATAAATTTTATTCTGTCCGTCTGACTTTCTTTTCTTTCGTTTGTAAATTGAAGTATTTGTCTTTTTAAGAAGTCTAAGAAAAATTTAAAATCGAATGAATAGAAGACCTTTGTATATAAACACAAAAGGCACATAATATCATGAATAAAATTGAAATGCAAACGTCACGATATACATATATCAGGATCATACACATTGTACGATCACAAAAAGAATACTGAAATACTAGAGTTATGTGAAATTCAAAGTGTAATCAATTGGGCCGGCAGAAGAATAAAAGAATGGAACCAACACAATACAAAATATAATCAGATAACTAGATTTTTGAATAATTTGTATTGAATTCAAACGTTTCTGTTTCATTTGTCAGAAAAATGCGTTCAGGTCGCTTTCAAAATACAAGATTCATCTTGGAAATAAAACTAAGAAAATTTTAAAATTGTTCGACCATAATATTGCGAGTGCCTAAGAATATGGAAATTTCATAAAAACTTGTGAAACCACATCCTATATTTCTACCAAAAAGAATAAATTGCAAAGTATTTAAAATTTTTTTATCCTTTAGAAAATCGACACAAACTTTTTGGTGGTTCCAAAACTGGTGTCAAGTATTATGTAAAATAAATAAAACATGAAAGAAATTTTGATAATTAATCCTCTTACTTGCTACAATTTTTTGTTTTTCTAAATCATATCTTGCAACATAATTCGTATCCAATTGATGAAAGTAGAAACTTCGATTATATACAACATGAGCATTACCCTAAAACAAAGGAAAAAAAAAATAAAAAAACAATAAAAAAATTCATTTATAATTCCTTTTATAAATTTTATCTTTTTTGTATTTAAAAAAAAAAACCAACTTTTATGTGGTTTGTTTGCTTGCTTTTCCATACCATTTTATACTTACCACAAATCCTTCTCTGATTTCATAATGCTTGAAAGATGTGTTCAGTTTAAATTGATTTCTGTCATTGTATTGATACAGACGATTATTATAATTTTGTCTTGTTACATATATTAATTCTTGTTTCTTATTTACATTACTATCAACGCCATCTTTTAACCATGCACCATAAATTTCATCTGTGAATTTATTATAAACTGGTTTACCAACAGCAGTAAGTTGACATCCTGTATATGATAATAAAAAGAATACACAGATATGATTAATGAACTTTTATTTCCAATTTATAAAAGGATGATTGATTTTTAATAATTCTGGTGAATATTTGAGTATATAAAAAAATTTCAATGAAAATTTAAGAATTTATTTTAAACTGTACGAATAATTTTTTTTTCTCAAACTGTATACGAAAAAATCTGAGTTCAAGAAGAGTTAGGATTTTTCTCAACTACATCAGACAATTATTTTGAATTTAGAGTAAGTTCTAAAAATGATAGAAAATATTCTGAGAATAAATATAAAAGTAAACGAGTGGATCACTTATCAACTCTGCGATTTCCTTACGGGTGTTTCTAAAAGCTATATGAAAGCCGACAATTTCTCCTGCTAAAATTTTGGTATAGAATGTCAAAATATTAGCTATAAAATTTCCCATTTAAAAGAACTAATAGAACTATAACTAAATTACTGACACTGTTTCAAGACTCCCGTTTATAAAATTTATTAACTTTATGCTTTACAGGCTGTATGACGCGATTAAAATTTTCTTAAGTATTGCATGACACTCGGAACTCGGGCTTCTATTGCCATCAAAACCAAAATAAGTAGGACTTTTCCCGTAATTACTATGAACAATTTATGATAAAGAAAATTTGAAAAATGACTTTGAATACTCATTCCTACCGGTACAGAAACATATTCATTATTAGAACCCTTATAAGAGAAACAATCGTTTTTAGTCCAAATTCCAAAAAAGGCTTTAAATTCAAGTTAATAAAGATTCTTAAAACTTTATTAAGCCGAGTGTAGTTATTAGCAGTAATTTGTTAATTACAATAAATTTGCAATTTCTATAAGAAAACGGTAATTGCCGCTTGGTCATTTATGGTCTATTTTCAGGGTTTGAGCTGTTTAATAAATTACTTTATAAACAAGTAGTATGTTGCATAAAATAAAAAAATTCTTTTGACTATGAAGTTTTTAAATTTAAGGAAATAATGAAAATTAATGAATTTTATTTTAATCTTTATCTAAAATTAATTTAATTCAGAACACGTTTTTTTTATATTTACTCATAAAAATTATTATTACAATATTGGACAGGACCAATACACTTTTTAATTACAAAATATATTGATAGCATAGCATAGAGAAGACTACATATATTTGAAAATATAATTAATTATTAAATAACATAGACCTTCTATCAAGTCTTCATTACTGTCTTTGTAATATAAACAAGGCATTATAAAATCATTAATATTTTTTAAAGAAACTTTATCAAGCGTAGACAATATTTTCTTCATTATAATTACAAAATAATACTGAGAATTTCTTTTATAATTTAAGATTTTAATATGATTAAAATTACACTCAATCTATATATATACGAAAAAGAATCCTTTAAAACGTTTTTACACGCGTAGACACACAGACACACACACTTTAATACAAATATCCTTTATTATGAATCTTTGATAATAAACTTTTCATTTTATTGAAAATACTTAAGAAATTAATCTGAATATTGATCTCATTCTCTCTTTTTCTCTCTTTCTAAAAAAAAATATGCAAAGCATACAACTTTTAAGGACAAAAATCTTTTTTTTTTTAAATTTTAATTTATAACCCCATTTAAAATTAAAGAAGACAAGAAAAAAACAACACAGAAAAGAGAGATCATAAAACAAAAAAAACTTACCATGATCTGGTTTTGGCCATCCAGGATAACTGTAATTACCAGTCTGTTGTATATAGAAATTGGTTCTAATCTCATCTTTGCACTCAAATTCACTGTTAAATGTATAAGAGAATGATTAAAATAATAAAAAGAGCGAAGGAAAATATGAAATAAATTAATAAATTAAAAGAGTTTAAAGCAAAAAATAAAAAAAAAAAGCAGAGAAAATGTTGTAGAAGAAGAGAGGGACGAAAAAGAGAAATTCGTAATAATTAAATGCAAAAACAAAGTTTCATTTTGTTTCTCTTTTTTTTTTATTTTTAATTTGAATGAAGAATGGAGAGGAAAATATTTTTTTTTTATGTAAGGATTTATAGCTTTTTCACTATTTCCTTTCTATCCTTGTCCTCTTTTCTTCTTCTTTTCGTTTTTTTTTTTTGTTTTTTTAAGTTTTTCATTTATATTTTGTAATTTTTAAAAGTCATTAAAAGAATACTGAAAATTACCTTGGTTCAGCGCATTTTTCACATACAACTGCTGGCGGACAAAATACTTCTGGCGGACGACGCCCAAATACTTTTAAACTTGGCATTGTTGGTAGAGCGTTATTTGGGTTTTTCTCTGTAAATTGATATAGAAATAAAATAAAAAAGAAAATAATGTCAAATAAAGAAAAGGGAACATTTAAAAGGAAAATATAATTTTTCTTTTCTTAGAAAGTATACAAGAATAATAATAAATTTATATTTTGATATTTTGAGAAAATTAGAAGCAATTTCACACAGCTGATCAAAATATTTGCTTAATAAAAGTGAAGAAGAAACTAGTTTGGTTTATAAGATTGCTAAAGTTGTGTTTTCGAATCGATTTCTCTAAATTAAATAAAACATTTAATGTGAAAGCTTTAATTATTAAATTTAGATACAATAACATTTATTTGTATATATTTAATTTGGCCCCTGAACATAATCGACAAAATGAGCACGGTTATACCTTAAATATTTTGTAAATAAATTATTAACCAGAATTATAGAGAAATACACATAATTGGGCGAAGACTTTAATGACAGTATTATAAAATAAAACTTGGTTAATTATATTTTGTTAACCCTAGTAAAATCAATTACATTTTGCGAGCAGCCCAGTTGCATGCAAATTTGCCATTTGGCGTCTTAATTTCACAACTGATATCAGAACCAAAATATAATCTAATTTTGTTTAAAAAATACTAAGGAACAGTGCACCGCGACCACGCATAGGGATCTACTGTGCCCCACCCCCGCTGAGTGCAGGTGCATGACCCTATAGCACTCGATCCCTGATGTATTGGAGAACCGCACGGAGAACCGCAACTCCGCCGCCGTGAAAGCAAAATCCCCTAGTATTCCTTTTCTCCTGCCTGCGAGAGCAACCCACTCTCCCAGGGAATTGTACTGGAGCGTCTCCTTCTTCCCCATAAAATCTGCGAGTGTCTTGCCTTTCCAAACCCAGGCTGCTCAGGTACCTGCTAAGTTTTTTAATTGATATTCTCAGCCTCTTTATGTTTGGTAACTAAAGCGTTATATAGACTGGTTTTATATATATAAAGTATTAATGTTACTGCATCTCACGGACAAAATAGTTAAATGCTATATTTTAAGGAATAATACTGTAAATATAAAGCCTGAAGCGTTTTACTATAATCTTAATTAAAATCTGTTTAAAATTTATCAAAACCCAATAACCCATTTTTTTTGCCAATTTTAATTAGTGATAAAAATGAAATGCTAAAGGGTCAATCTTTACCTTACTAGCACACTAATTTAAAAAATATTAAAAGTTGTTGAAGCCATAACCAGAGAAACCCTACTAATCAATTTTACGAAGTTGCAAATCAGGATATTTGCCTCACTTACCAGGATCGGCAGACAATTTGACCAGTACTGTGTAATCTCTTTAATTTTTCTTTTTAATTTTAAATAAAAGGGGCAACTTTATTAAAAATGAAATAGAATACATTTAGACAATATATATACTTTTGTATATGTACGTTTGTACAGCTATTTTAAACAAAAAATTATAAGGTGAAAAATTTTAATAAAAAACAAAACAAAAAACTTACTTATAACTTCAAATGATGCAATTGTTGAATTAAGTTCATTCTTTGCAACACAAAAGTAACGACCAAAGTCATCTGAGTATAAATTATTTATGGACAATCGCATTGTAACTTTATATCTAGTTTGAATACACCCAGAAATAAAAGAATTTTCGTATATTTTATTTCATGTAATGTTAGAGTACTTAAAATTCAATTGTTGTAAAATTTAAAACTTGTAAGTTGTAATGTGATATCAATGTTAAATACATACATACATACATTTGCTTTTCAATAAACACTTACACTTGATTTAAAATTGTACAACATTTTCACTTATAAGCATTCTTGTATATGCCTGTGTATAAAAGAAGTATTTCATGTTCTGTTCTGTACTTACCCATCTGTATGAGTTGCTGTTTGATATTTTTCACCAGGTAAAAGAATTTTACCATCTGATACACGTTCCCAATAACGTACAGCTTCTGGAAAAGCTTCAACCTGAGAAACAAAAAAAAAACAATTGTGAAAACTAAGATAATAGAAGACTATAACAGTATACTGTTGCTATGAGCTACATAGTGTTGGTATGTTTTTATGAAAATCTTTTATCATGTTAGTAAAAATTTATATTGTATTATTTTTTTTTTTGTTTTCGTCTTTCAATGAACTGTAGATTTTCGAGTTCATTTTCCATTTTTGTATTTTTGATTTTGTTCTAAAGAAAAAAAACTAAGTGGAAGTTTAATTCGTATGTAAGCTTGTAAGGTAAGCTATTGTATACCTGGAGAATGCAAAAATAATTACAACGACGGATTGTATGAATTTTTTAATAGAGATAATTGAGTTTTTGGTGAGTATCTTATTACTTTTTTTCCCATATTTTGTAAAAAAAGTTACGAATAAAACAAAGTCTAAAATTTTCGACTGTAATCATTGGTGTAAATACTAAAGAAACTTAAATAATCACATTCGGATCAGTACCTAATTCGTTATCACTTAAATTGGTTTGTCACTTGAGAGATGGTAATTAAAGTATAATGATCGAATGTTGAGTGTGTCCGATTAATAAGGATCTAAATGACAAAAACTATAATGGTTAAGCTGTTGTTTTAAATCTAAAATTAAGTTGCTTACGAGTGAGAAATGCAATATTTTTTTGTAAAACACGAAGCGGTGTAGAATTTCGAAAACAACGTTTTAACACAAAAATAAGTTAGTTCAGAAATTTCATGTTAGTTCATGTCGTAGTTATTCTTCCCTTTAAATTTTAAAGTGTTTAGTATATAGCTACAGCATTTTCATACACCGCGTCATAATTATACAATTTTGGCGTTACAATTAATTACCAAGTGCTCATTGTTTTTTCAGTTAACATAATATTTTTTTATACGGACTTAGTAGGGGATGTATTAAATTTGGTATGTAGCTTGTAATCACTTGAAAGAATTGACTGCAATGTGAAAATGTATGTATATTCTTGCTCAGCGTCAAATTCTGTGTTGATTTAGACATACCTGATGTCCTTGTATACAATTGTTCGCACGATAACTTAAAAACGAATAGGCAAAGTACTACCAAACTTTCAGCAATTATTTCTTCTCTTCCATGGGCGTATGCTATTGCAATTGTAGAAATTCGAACAACGGTAACGGTAGTACAGGTAATGGACACATTTGGAAGCCATGTCTCCAATTACAATTCAGATATATCCTATAAATTTTAGTGGAATGGCATGACAGGTTCGGTTAGCTGCCACACAATCTTCAACACTAATATTCAAATATTTCTAAAACTGATTGAGATAACTCCATAAAATTTGGTAAGAAAGCACTAAATTATAGTTTTTACCTCCAAAAATTCTCTTTGACTGATTCACGAGACTTTGATTCAATAATTAAATTGCCATTGTAAACCAGCAATATGAAACTGAAGGCTTTTGAAAATTTATATAGAAAAACTAAAAACTCATGTCCAGAATTTTAATTATAATTATTTTTTGCAATAAAAAATTCGTAAATTCGAAATAGACTACCATTTTAATTTCGTTTTCTTTAATATTCTCGACTTATTGATTGACAAATTGTTCTGAAATCATATACGTTCCACGTACACAACTATACATATACATTTATTTGGTCTTGATACAAAATATTTTCCGTTATATCAAAAGCATCCTTTAATTCAAGTTGACATTTAAAATATTAGATTGACCTATAAACAAAAATAGTGTACAATTTTAGCATTTGAAAAGGAAAAACAAAAAAAGTCTAAGGATTCTCTATTGTTGGTTAAATTTCACTGAGAAACTTTTGGCAACATTTCTTACTAGTAGTGAACTCTCAAAAAGAAAACAAAGAAAAATTTCAATAAAATATTTTAAACTTTTAAAATATTTTTAAGTAAGACTAAGACGAAAGAAAAAATTTTGTTGGCAAAATTTTGAATTTCACATTTTGGTAACAAAGTTATTGAAAAGGTAAAAAAGTTGATGCTTTTTACAAGTTTCCATTTTATAAAAAGGAGAAGGTTTGTTATTCTTTAATAATATTAAACTTTTGTTTTGTTTTTTAATTGGAAAGTCAGAATATTGGAAGCGATAAATTTAACTTGTTCTCTTATCTTGTTTTGTTCTCTTAACTGTTCTGTATGGTGGGCAATTTGTGTAAAAGTTCTGTTTTATTAATGGGCTTTTGATGTGAATTTAGTAATCCAGTCAACTTGAGCTAAGACTGACCATTATTCGTACTACTATAGTTATTTTCGACGTAACTATTTTTTTTAATTCAATTTTATTAAAAACTTAAATTCCTTTAAGAAAATTTACAATTTGAATATATGAAAGGAATCTCACAGCCACAACATATTAGAATACCACAACCAACATCATATGTATAGTTGTTGGTTAAATAATCTGAACAAAACAAATAATTTATTTAATTTGCAAGAAAATTAATGTTCCATGATAAACAAAAAAAAAAATAAGTTGATTAAAATTGAAGGCATTCAAACTTTGTTTTTTTCAAATGCTTTATAAAACTCGTATATTTTGTGTAATACATCAAAATTACACAATTAATTAAAAATTTTGTATTCCATAAATTAAAAATTTTAATTTTAATCAAAAATTACTGAGGCCGAAATTGAATGAGTTTTCTTAATTGATGGTCATCAGAATAAAAATTTTTATAATTTTTCCAAAACAAATTAAAAGTTAAAAAATTACAAAGTATGAAAGTAGTATTTTTAAGGATAATATCTATATGGCAGATGGTTCAAAGTTTAAAGGAATTATCTTTTATTTTGAATAAGCAGAAATAAGAAACAAATAAAGTTGAATCAAACCAATGGTTTGTAAGGAAGCACTTTTCCCTTGAACAAGTGATAGCTGCTTTTAAAAATAGTCCACGATGTATACTTTTTGATGGCACGGAATTTACCGTTATCTTTCCGCTTTTATAGAAATTTGGAAAAGATTATTTATTATTTATTATTATTTGGAATTATTTAGTGTCTATAAGTGTCGGTCATTTCGTTTTTTTTTTTAACATTTAATTGTGTTGTGCAACGGTAGAAGCAGCATACTCGCTACCTGTGCTTTCAAAATTTGAAAAAGGATTGTAGTTTCGTTACAACAAATAATAAAAAAAATTTTATTTCTAGGAATTTAAGGGCTGAAACTTTTAGTAGAGTGGGGGGGGGGCGGTAAATAGTAAAAAATTTTTTTTCACGGAAACAAGTTTGTCTATAAAATGTCCGCTTTCCATTTCAAAGGGAGTAGAAGTTTTACAAGAAGACAAACGGACAAACTGACGGAAGGATAGACAGAGGGCCCGATTGAAAATAATAAACACTTTTGTTTATTTAGTGAAACCGCTATCACAAAATCAAAATTATGCTATAGCCAAATTAAATCAGACAAAAACTAGATTCAACTCTATTTGAATTCTGCGTTGTTTATTCTTGTTTCAAAGACAAACGTTCGGAAAATACCACAAAAATAAGAAGTTTTTTCCTTTAAATGGAATCGTTGTATAGAATTAATTTAAATATACTATGAAAAAAAATCTAAATATTTTGTTCTCATTCATGATATTATGAAAATTCATTCATTTAAAAAAAAAGAGGACGATGAACTTCAATCTTCCCTAGTTGCGATTATTTTTCTCTTAATGTTGGGCAATTTTGATAAATTGACGCATTACGTCAATCTAAATTTACATCAACAGAGTGGGGCAATAATTTTAATTATATTAGATTTTAAAGTATAAAATATAGAACAAAATTGTTTTCTTATTGTAAACGAATATTTTAAACTATAATATACATATGTATGTATATAAAATATTGAAGATTCTTATTAAAAATAAAGCGACAAATTTTCCATGAAAAAAAGTCTATAGGTGACTTTTATATCCCCTAAATAAAACTTAACATCTAATTGTACATTATCAGAACCATCTAAATAATATGAATTTGCAGTAAATAATATTGCATACATTGCGGCGACATGTTTTGTTTCTTAGTATTATTAAAAGAATTTCTCTAATATTGGAAAATTTAATTTAAATAGAGAATGATGGTAGAATGAGATTTATATGTAGTTGAACCGTTGTTGTTTTATAATTTTTAAAATGTGGTAAAAGAATTAAAGCTACATAAGATGACTGCATTTAGAGTTCTTGAAAAAATTTATAACTGATCTAAAATAAAAGATATTTGAAAATAAATTGTTAAATTTATATTAAAATATTAAAGATTACATTTAGTAATGGGCGATGGTCTTCATGTTTCTCTTGTAGAATTGAACTTGTCTTCGAAAAATTTAATTATTTCTCCATTGAAATGATGAAAAAATAATTCTTTTTTTTTAAATTCTTGTAATTTCTTAGTTTTTACATGATTTGAAAATTTTGTAGCCTGCGTAATACTTTCATCATTTCTATTCCTAAGTTTTATGGATTTTCGTAAAAATTTTTAAATTTCAATTCGTATACATATGTATGTAATTCTTTATTAAAGTTGAAAAATTGGAAGCTTTAAGTTTTTATTTTCTTGAACTTTTTGAAATTTATTTATTAGGAATTCAATAATTTTATTAAATTAGAAATTAGCAATTGTTTTCCTCATAATTTTCAGCTAGAATTCTTTCATAAATTTCTTGTTTAAAATTTCAATATAAAATGAAAAAAAAGGATCATAAAAATTTTCCACTAAAATTAAAATTTTGTAAAAAATAAAATGTCAAAATTTTAATTTTCAATTGAAATTTTTTTTTTAAAGGCCTACTACGTATGTATATTTAAGTACATAATATGCACAAGCTTTCAAAAAAATTGTGAAATCAAATAAAAACTTATTAGATTTGTAATTAATTTATTAAACATGTATGTATGTGCACTATGTGCCTATTGCATATTAAAATTATTTCCCATATTTTATTGAGAAAAATTATTTTTGACATAATTTGAAATGAGAAGAAAAATAAAAATTTGAGGTTC